CCCGCAGACAACCCCCCCCCGCCCCCGCCCCCGACCCTCGCCAAACCCCTCAGGGGAGACGCCCCGCCGCCGCCCGCGCCGCCCAGGCTGTAGGGCGGGCTGATGCCCCCCCTAGGCGGGAAGTTTGACCTCGAGGAGGCCCCGCCTATGGTCACCGAGCTCTGGACCGAACGGCCGGATGCCGCCACCGAGTTTGCTGCGAAAGACGCCTGATTAAAAAAAATGTTTTGCCCAAGACAAAGCCGGGGAACGGAAGAGAGGGGGGGAGGGGGGGCGTACTCAAGGTTTGCATGCCTTAGCTGTTGTATACCATTGACCACGCGTCCTCGAGAGGACAGGGCATTGGAACTCGTACAAAGAATATGAACATGATGGCAGAACCTACAGGCAGTAGTCATCAGTGGTCACCGATTTCGCCGCGAAAGACGCCTGGTGCAAAAAAAAATGTTGGAAAGACAGATAAATGGAAGAAGTGGGGGAACAGAGGCGGGAGGGCTTGTACCTAACAGTGATGCCACCGAGTTTTTGGCGAACGACGCTTGATGAAAAACAAATCATTGCAAAGACAGTAAATGAAACAAGCGGGGGAAACGGAGGAGGGGATTCATAATTGAACAGATGATGGCCGTGTGTTTAACATTGTATTTTGTCGTCATGACACAAGCAATTCATCTCCTCAACGTGTCTAATAGCATTGTGTTGAGCTCCTTCCGTTTGTTTGTCTGACCTGTGAACGTGGGCCGGCAGAGAAGCGCGAAGAGGGACCCCCCCCGCCGACCATGCCCTTGCGGAGGGGGAACTCCGGCCCCAAGATGCTGCCACCCATGGCCGCGCCGGTAAGGTCCGTTCCTCCCCAGTCAGACGTACCGTCATCCTCATAGTACCTGCAGAATGAATCCGCGGTCCGCGCGCGGGGGCGTGCTCATGTAAACACATCACACCCTGTACAACTGCGATGGTTGCAAATACTTGTTTTGTCAACCAACTATTACAGTAAAGTCTCAGAACCTTGTGCAACTACGTAGTTGATTCCAATCAACCAGCTCAGAATCTTGAGCAACTTAGTTTTTTTTCCGTTCAACTACGGGTGTTTGAGCCCTTACTCCACTACTTCGTACTTCTTGTTAGTTTAGTTGTTCAGTTGTAGTTGTAAAGGGTGTCGACACATGCCGTAGCCGTAAGACCATTGACCTCGTCGAATCCCCACAGCAGTGACGGGATGACGGAGGAGCGATATGTACGCTGTCTTTTGTTTTCGCCAGCCCAGGCTACGTTTAACAACGATGAACCAAAAGCTGGTCATCATCAAGTTTTGCAGCCTCGGTCGTCAGAACGTGGACCTCGCGTTTTCGAGAGGGGGCGAACTCATGCCTTGCCTGACTTAATTGTTGCACAATTGTCTACGAGAGGGGGGGGAGGGGGGGGGGCGTCTACAACAGAACATCCACGCGTCGCCGCACCATTCGAGGTAAAATTCAAGCCTATTGAAAGAGAAATCCAGAACACAATGTTTTCGTGTTCATCACACGAATCGGGGAGAGGCTGAGGCAGAATGGTGACCAAACGACAGAAAACTGTAGCTCACGCAGGGAGGACTGGCTAAACCTTGTCGCAAAACAACACCCTTAATGACAGCGGCAATTACAACCCAAGACCATGGCTACAACAACAAGGTACAAGGCATCGACAGCATCCACAGCGACAACAACGTCAGCAGCAGCAGCAGGAACAGCAACAGCAACAGCACAACAACAACAGCAACAACAACAACAGCAACGACAACAACAACAGCAACAACGACAACAGCAACAGCGAGTGCACATACTTGGCAGAAGATCTCTCCGACATAGCGCCGTCGTTGGTGTCGCCCCCCGGCACGACCGAGTCGCTGTAAGCGCTCTGGTTGCCGTCGAAATCGCTGAAGGCGCCTTCCACGAAGCCCTGTTGTGGGCGGCGGCGGCGGCGGCGGCGGCGGCCGCAGGGGGGACAACGGCTTGAGAAATCAGGTCAATTGGAAAGAAAAACTTGATTTTGTAGTACATTTTTTGTTTTGGTCTTCGCTTCAAATCAGTGCTCACAGCGTTTGGGCCATTTGCCAACCCGTGTGGTCACATAGAAGGGTTCCTCTCTCCCTATTGCACATGAAAAACATTATTTCGCTTGTGCCGATGAAAAAAACCCGGCTACATACACGTTCGTTCATCTACGAAAATGAGCGCGCACCCCTCCCTCCCCCTCGCCGAACAAAAAAAAAATCATTACAATATTTTGCTTGTATGGGTGAAAACCGGTCACTTAGGTTGAGAAACCAGGACGTTGGAAAGAAAAACTGAACTATTTACAACACAAAAACATGATAAGCTTGTATCGGTGAAAACCGGCCAGTTACGTTTTATCCACACGAAAATGAGCGGGGGAAAAAAAAAAAAACGCGGTGTAGATGCATGAGAGCATCCCCCTCCCCCCAACAAAGCCCACCCAATCCAACCCGCCGGTCCAACAGTCGCCACCACCTCCACTCTCCTCACCTCCGCCGCTGGCCCCGTCTCTCCGTACTTGTGTTCTACCAAGTCCTCCCCCCCGTCCGGACCGTTCTCCAGATCGTACGAGTAACCGCCGCCACCGCCACCGGCGGTCTGAGAGCGGGCGTCGAGCGGGTTACCCCCCACGGACACTGCGGGGGCCAGCCTGCCGAAGGCGTTGCTGTTGTTGTTGTTGTTGCCATTAGCCCCGCCGCTCTTTAGGGCCGCACCGTCGGAGGTGCTGGAGGCCGTGCCGCCTAGGTGTGTGATGCGATGGGGGTTTACGTAGGTGGTGGTGGTGGTCTGTGGTGTGACTGGATGAGGTAGTGCTGTGAAGGGACGTGATGTGATTGTGGTGTTGCGATGTTAATGGATGAGGTGTGGTGCGATGGAATGTTGCGCGATGTGATGTGTGTGGTGTGTGGTCGGTGATTGGATGACGTGTGACGTGCCGCCTGTGCGAGGTGATACGATTGGATGACATGTGATGTGGTGTTGTGATGTGAATAGATGAGGTGTGAGTGGATGAGACACCATCGCCCCGCTGCTGCCGTGTCTTTTGGGCAGCTCCGTCTGAGGTGCTGGAGGACGTGCAGCCTAGGTGTGATGCGATTGGGTGAGGTGTGGCATGGTGTGATGTGATTGGATGAGGTGTAAGGTGTTGCGATTGGATGAGATGTGTGATGTGATGAGACGTGATGCGATTGTGAAGCGTAATTTGACGGGGTGTGATGCGATTGTGATTGGATGGGGTGTGATGCGATTGCGATTGGATGAGATGTGACGTTCTCTAGGATGTGATGTGATGTGGTGGAGATGTGATTGGTTGAGGTTCAAAGTGATTGTGATGTGGATGGGGTGTGATGCGATTGCGATTGGATGAGATGTGATGTGCTCCAAAAGGATGTGATGTAATGTGGATGGGGTGTGGTGATGAGATTGTGAGGCGTGATGTGATGTGATGTGATGTGATGTGATGTGATGTGATGTGATGTGATGTGATGTGATGTGACGTGACGTGACGTGACATGATGTGATTGGATATGTGTGGTGGGATGGTGTGGTGTGATTGGATGAGGTGTCGTGTGATGTGATGTGATGTAATGTGATGCGATTGGATGTGATGTGATGTAATGTAATGTGATGCGATTGAATGAGATGTAATGTAATGTAATGTGATGCGAATGGGTGTGATGTGATGTAATGGGATGTGATGCGATTGGAAGAGGTGTGATATGGTGAGGGGTAATTGGATGAGGTGTCGTGTGATGTGGTGTGACTGGATGAGGTGTGATGATGCAATTGGACAAGGTGTGATGTGGTGTGAAGGATGGGATGGGATGCGACTGGACGTGATGTGATGTGATGTGGTGTGGTGTGACTGGATGAGATGTGATGTAATTGGACGAGGTCTGATGTGGTGTGAAGTATGGGATGTCGTGTGACTGGATGAGATGCAAATGGACAAGGTGTGATGATGTGATTGGATGAGATGTGACGTGACGCGATGTGATCGAATGAGATGTCGTGTGATGCGATCTGTGACTGGATGACATGTGATGTGATGTGATTGGATGACTTGTGATGACGTGATGTGAGCTGTGAGGTGCGGCGTGATGTGACTGGATGAGATGTCGTGTGATGTAGCGTGACTGGATGAGACGTGACGAATGAATGAGGTGTGACGGGATGTGGAATGGTGTGATTCGATTACAGTCGTAGGCCCTCTCTGAGAGGCGTGTGCCCTGGTAACGCGGGCGAAACTGGCTGGCACAGACCGACTAATCAAGTCATCCTACACGTTGAACAAGGCGGGCGCCGTGTACAGGG